GAGGAGCTAAGGTAAGTGTACCCTGCCTCAGCTAGGGTACATATATACCATCTTTTTTGAGGTTTAGGTAGCGGTAACAAAAATGATGAATCTCAGTACATCGCCAACCAAGGGGCGTGGCCGCATTCAACCTAGGTAAATCCAGTGACGAATCCGGCCCCTGCCCGTACCTTTTTCCCTTGCATTCCCCTCCAAAAACGATTTCCGCTTATTCCTTCGAGAGACCTGGCCGAATCTTGGTTTGAATAGATATTTGCTTCGTATCTGTAGCAATTGCTGCAATCTATGAATTTTCTTGGAGAGTATGTTTTCCTTCCGCTTGTAAAGATGATCAACTGACGCTTTAGCATTACTATTCATTTCCTATAGTAACTGGAATAAAGATCATTAACTACGTAATCGTTGCAACACCTATTTACATTTTGGCGCAATGTAGAAATTACATCAAGTAAGCAATCAAAATAAACTTAAAATATAATTAACAAATGATCTAAAGCGAACATCTAAGAGCATACCATTTCATAATGTGCGATAAACTCGTGAAAGACGGTTTTTAACATTAGCGTATAATACCCTCATCAGCCTTTCTGGATAATTCGTCATAGTAAAATTGCCGAATTTCTCGACTTCATGTATCCATGTTGTTCCCCAATTGTCGTCAGCAAGATCACGGTAATGCCTGCAAATAAGACAAACTCTGAAGAATTAACATTTTGGAAAAATTAAATCCACCTTATAAGTGCTTTCTCCGTTGGTACCCCAGCACCGTCATAACCAGGAAAAAATATCGACACGTGATGAACCCACATTAGCAGCACCTAAAACGATTTCAATGGATTTATTCTCATAAATAAACCTTGATGAGCAAAATAGCGAAATGCTGACCCGCCGCGTGTCTAGCACACACTTAGCTGTATGTCCAGGAGGAGCTATAGCAGAAGTATTATGGAAAACAAGTGTTGGTAGATGTTCAGACAAGGTTCTATCGCCCTTTAATATGGTTTAATTGGTCGAGCTGGAATAATAAAAGGTCGAACCTACCTCGTACTTTTCCGGAGGTTTTCTGTTACGCAGTACCCACGTAGTTCGAAACTGAAGCATTCCTATATTGGGTTTCTCAGTCATTGCCTGCCTTCAAAAGTGAAAAGGGTAAGTCTCAAATGCAAATCGACTGAATGGCTTGAACTCAATACAAGCTAACGGTATGTAATCTGCGAGAGTTTGACCACCCAATGCTAAAATTCTCTCATCCAAGTCTGCAAATATCGAGTAACGAGAATGATGACGGCTGCGTTG